GTCCACCATCTCTTCTTCCCCTCTCACCACCTGCTTCTCAGTATCAGCGGACTCCTACAGAGAGAGAGTTGTGACATGAGACTTGACGACATTGGATCCAGACTCGACATTGGGATTCAGACATTTTGACAAGGGACTATTTGGGTCTGTGCTGAACACTTGGTGTTGACGACATTCCCATCTTCCCTTCTTCTTTGTCTAACCCCACCTCCTTTCGTCTGTGTATGGTTGGGGCTGGCGCAGTCTTCTTGTGTGAAGCGCCAGACCCCTTCGCACAATGATGATGATGATGTATGTTCGGGGCTGCATTACAATATTGTTTGTTCGGATCATTGGTATCTAAGTCTTCCGCTGTGCTATCTATTGAAAGGTCGGTTCTTGTTCTGGTCTGCACCTATACGGTATGCAACACTTGGTAAGGTTCCAATTCGAACCAATTGAACTTATTCCCTCCAAAACACAGCAAAGAAAATGACTGTACATGAACCAACCACGTGTCACTCACTCCTAGAACTCGCTGTTGTACATATCTACCTTGCGCAAGAGAAATGCTAAAAAAACAGAAAGATCTTCGGGACATTCGTTATATAATACTTGTCTTTGCCCCATTGGAGTACGTGAAGCTTAGATCCCTGGGAATCTGGAAGTCTGCATGTCGTTATCCTTACCTCTAGTACACCAACACCCCATATATGTTCCTGCCTGATGGAGTAACAATACTCCAAAAAGGAAGGCGTGACCTCCTTACGATTCCGAGTACCTTCGTGATTGAAGTCTGCAAGGGCCTAGTTGCACCACTCACCATCCGCAAACATTCTGAATGCATCAAGACATAGCAGTTGTGCAGGTACATTCAAAATCTTGATGGATTGCAAGTGGTGCAAACACACCCTAAGCCATGATGCGATGGGGTGTTCTTAAATCAGTGGGTGATTATCTCCTTAAAGCAACAACAGACTAATGTAAAACGTTGGTAGAGAAGGGTCGGGCAACATATTATGATGTTGAAAGGGAGAGGTCAAGTTGCTAAGTATTAGCAGGCGACAATTAAGGAATGAAGGAATTTTTTTATGAAGACCCATCAGCGGGTAAACGAACCAGTAATCATCTTGCTCCTCCTCCTCCTCCTCATCGCCACCATTACTAGCAACATCGTCGTCATCAACAGTACATCGACGTAAGAATAGAAATCACCGTAGAATATAGGCATCAATATAGGAAAAGGGAGAAGGAGAAGGAGAAGGAGAAGAAAACAAAAATTAGGAAGAAAGTGAAGGAGGGAGGGAGGACGAACTAAAAGGAACGCGTGTCGTGCAAGAGCCCAAGGGATTGTGCTTGTGTGTGTGTGTGTGTGTGTGTGTGTGTGTGTGTGTGTGTGTGTGTGTGNAAGATAGAAGGCAAGGGATGAGGAGGAGGAAGAGGAGGTGTTAAAGAGGTGAAGAAAAAGAAGAATCAGAAGAAAGAGAAGGAGAAGAAGGATGGTGTTGGTGAAGGCAGGGAAGAGCAGAAGGGGAATGAAGAACGCCGACGAAGCCCATCCATCCAATTTTTTTTATTTTTTTTTTCAAGAGATGACAGCGCTTATCGGAACTGTATCCAGGAAAGGCATATAACATCATCTTTTAGCCTACCTTCAAAACCAAGCACACTAAATTGCACCAAATTCTCACACCTGATTCAAATAAACAATGAGAGTTATACACAGGTTGTACACATGCAATAAAAACAAGGGCTAAAACAAGGGAGGATTTATTTATAAAAAAAAAAAAAAACTAAAAACAAAAAAAGGAAAAAAATTATGTCATGTTACAACTGATCTCCCACCGTCCATAACCTTGGATCGGGTCTCAACTTCGTACAGACCAAATCTGCACGAATTGAACTAAATCTTCTGTTTCCTCATTTTCACTGCTATCTACGCGGATACTCACACAGAAGGTGGTTTGGTAAGGTTCAAATTCGAACCAATTGAACTTATTCCCGCCAAAACAAAGCAAAGAAAATGACTGTACTTGAACCAACCACGTGTCACTCACTCCTAGAACTCGTTGCTGTACATATCTACCTTGCGCACGAAAAATGCTAAAAAAGCAGAAAGATCTTCGGGACATCCGTTATATAATACTTGTCTTTGCCCCATTGGAGTACGTGAAGCTTAGATCCCTCGGAATCTGGAAGTCTGCATGTCGTTATCCTTACCTCCAGTACACCAACACCCCATATATGTTCCTGCCTGATGGAGTAACAATATTCCAAAAAGGAACGCGTGACCTCCTTACGATTCCGAGTACCTTCATGATTGAAGTCTGCAAGGGCCTAGTTGCACCACTCACCATCCGCAAACATTTTGAATGCATCTGGACATAGCAGTTGTGCAAATACATTCAAAATCTTGGTGGATTGCAAGTGGTGCAAACACACCCTAAGCCGTGATGCGATGGGATGTTCTTAAATTAATGGGTGATTATCTCCTTAAAGCAGCAACAGACTAACGTAAAACGTTGGTAGAGAAGGGTCGGGCAACATATTCTGATGTTGAAAGGGAGAGGTCAAGTTGCTAAGTATTAGCAGGCGACAGTTGAGAAATGAAGGAATTTTTTCATGAAGACCCATCAGCGGGTAAACGAACCAGTAATCATCTTGTTCCTCCTCCTCCTCCTCATCGCCACCATTACCAGCAACATCGTCGTCATCAACAGTACATCGACGTAAGAATAGAAATCACCGTAGAATATAGGCATCAATATAAGCATCAATATAGGAAAAGGGAGAAGGAGAAGGAGAAGGAGAAGAAAACAAAAATTAGAAAGAAAGTGAAGGAGGGAGGGAGGAGGAACTAGAAGGAACGTGTGTCGTGCGTGAGCCCAACGGATTGCGCTTGTGTGTGTGTGTGTGTGTGTGTGTGTGTGTGTGTGTGTGTGTGTGTGTGTGTGTGTGAGAGAGAGAGAGAGAGAGAGAAACAAAGAGAGAGAGAGAGAGAAAGACCGTTTGAATGTGGCCAGGAAAAAACGCGACAGTGGGGGCGAGGGCAGAGGCTTGGACTGGCATGGATTAGCAAGGAAAGGGAGACAGCAAGAGGCAGTGGGAGAGCCCCACGCACACAGAGAGAGAGAGAGAGAGAGAGAGAGAGAGAGAGAGAGAGAGAGAGAGAGAGAGAGAGAGAGCCGAGGTCCAGCGAAGACGGGCCTCAACGTCCTTGCTGTTGTTGGATAAGCAGGCAGGATGCTGGGCGCGTTCTCGTACGCCCGTCCCCACTCGCTCAGCCAGCCCACACACTTGATGGTAGGCGAATCGGTTCGAGCGTGTCGAAGGGCTGCCTCGACCGTGTCGTAGGACGAAATAAAAAATCAGAGAAACAACAACAAAAAAAAAACAACGTCGCACGGAACTCAATTGGATTCAACGCGCGAATCCGGGCGTGTTTGTGGAGAAGTGCAGACAGGCGCAAATCAAACCACTAGTACCCGGAAAAAAAAAAAGCACTAGCGACGCGGATGCCCTCGCGCGGTAATCGTGCCAGCGGATCCGCTGGCGACAGAATAAATCCCGGGGTCAAGGGCCTCGCCACACCACTCTCGAAATGTGAAAAAGTCCTTTCTCGGATCGTTTCTCGGATTGCAATGAAACGACCTCATTTCATCTCCCAAAACCCCGACATCCCCCAAGAAAAAAACGAAAACCCTCCACCCGAAAAGGAAACTGGCCGCCGCCCATCACAAGCCCGAACGACTGCAATGAAACGACCTCTGGACGTGCACTCCCAAAGCCTGCCACTACCACTCGCACTACCGGTCTCTCCTACCCGCGACCGCACCCTTCCAACTTTTCCCTAAACCCCGAAAAGACCCTAGCGTTGACACTACCACTCGCACTACCGGTTTGTCTCCTACCCGCGACCGCACCCTTCCAACTTTTCCCTAAACCCCGAAAAGACCCCAGCCAAGACCATTCAACGCGCACGACATTTCCCAAAATAGCAATTACAGAAAACGACAAAATTACAACCGCAGTAAGAGCAGCACTGATCTTCTGCCTTTGATGACGGGCAAATGCTCCTAGTCGTGGATTGTTGTTGCTGCATGGAGTCCAGTCCGTTGATGCATGAAAACAGTGGTTGGGAAAGGATGGGAAAATGGTGCCAGGAGTCCCAAAATGGTTCCGGTAGTTGTGGGAAATCTAACAGCAGTAGTTCGCTTGAATCGACTGAGGCCGTTGGAGTTGGGTGTAACGTAGCTACTTGAAACAGATACAACGCTGATAGTGCGGGTGTGAGTAGTTCGTCAGGCAATTCAATTTCAAGTGTCCGTGCGCCAGGGTGGATAATTCATCATCATGTCCTTCAGCCAGAGCTAACACCGACTCTAACCGGTCACACACACACACACACACACACACACACACACACACGCACGCACACACACACACACACACACACGCACACGCACACACACAGAGTCCCTGACGTATGCTACCTCCGCCTCAGGCTCTCATCAAGGGCAGTTTCTTCAGGGCTCTTATTCGGGACTTGCTTCTGAAGCTCAGCAGAACAGAATCGCAAGGCGAGCGCCGGGGATCGCGACTCCTCGTCGCGTCATCCTCCTTGGCTCTGATTCCTCATGCTAGGCTGCTTTTGAGGCTGGGGTGAGTTCTCTTACTGCTGCGCTTGATGGCTCCTCTCTTCACCCCTCTTGCCCCCTTTTCCTCCCCCCTCTCCCGCCCGCTTCTCTTCCCCCACCTCCAACCACAACCACCCAACACCCTGGCAGTTTTGTCTCTGATGAACGGTCGTCCAGCGATCCGTTAGCGTCCCCCCCCCCACTCAAATCATCATAGAACTGACCGACCCCAGGTGATTTTGTGTCATTTGGCTCGTGTGCGTATTTGAACACAGGTCTTTTTATCGACAATTGGGTGTACCATCCATCCACATGGGCTGAGTTAGGGCATACTCACACTAGGCCCTCAAACTTCCAAAATCACAAAGTGAGTGGCTAGATCGAGTCCTTGTAAAGGAAGGACTAGATCTGGCCGCTCATTTTGGGATTTTGCCATTTTGAGGGCCTATCTTCTTCCCCCGAATACATCGTAGAGTCATTATAGCTGTATTTGAGGCATCTTTCAGTCTAGATACAGCTATAATGACCGTTCGTTGTATTCGGGGGAAGAAGGTACTGTGAGTATGCCCTTAGTAACTCATTTTTGTTAACAGAACCATAAGGATTCGAATGCTTCAGACCACATCGACGATTGTAGTGGATCCTGCTTTAAAAAAAAGAAAAAAAAAAAAAAGAAAAGAAAAAAGATTGTACTGGATCCTGCTGCGGGGTGGGACATATGGATAATGGAAATGCGACCGGATAACTTGAAAAAAAAATTAAAAAAACAAATGCAAACGGATAATTTCTTTATCCACACGGTGAAAAACAAAAGGAAAAAGAAAAGAGCTGCCTTTATTCTCGTACTACGTCAACACTCCCGCTTGTACCTGTGTGTGTTTTTCGTTGATGTCAACTGACGAACAAAGCCAATCGCGTACATTGGGCCTCGTTCCACTTATCAAATGTGCAAAATCAGAATGAATCTTCCTCTAGAACATGGAAATGTACACCGGCATATTTTTTTGGTCTTTTGTGCATGTGGTGAGCAGCGCAGCGAGGGCGAATGGAAAGTGCTGAACTAAAAAAGAAAGAAAAAAAAAAGAACAGAAAAAAAAAAAACTCCTGAATTATGGGCCTGGCCACACCACTCTCGAAATGTGAAAAACGCAAAAACGTGGCGGGTGCATCTGGCCATATTCTAGCAGAAAGTTCATTCTCATTGTGCACATTTCGAGAGTGGTGTGGCGATGGCCTATGTGCCGTTTCCTTCAGCTGCCGTGTGTAGTTGCCTCCTTTTTTTTCTTTTCTTTTCTTTTCTTTTCTTTTCTTTTCTTTGTTCCATTCGTCATGTCCTTGTTGAGGCTTGCCCACAAAAAATGTGGCGGGTGCATCTGGCCATGTTCTAGCAGGAAGTTCACATTTCGAGAGTGGTGTGGCGATGCCCTTAGTCTCATGGCCTCCTTCCTCCTCCAGCGTCAATGGCGACAGCGATGCCGTTGATAACGACGAGTCTACTCTTACATCTCTACCGTCCGATGACGAAGCCTGCACGTCCACCGACCGGGTTCCCTCCCTCTCTCCCATATCTCCGCCGCTTACCACCGATTTACCCTGTCAATTGAAAGGTGCCAAATCTCAGAACAAGAACGCAACTTCATGCAAAGGTTGAAGATCAGTCTTCTTACTTGCCTTCCAAGGCGTCTTCCTGCTCCCTTCCTGTATATCCTGCTCGATTCCCTCCCTCTGTCCTACCCTCTCAGGCTACTTCCTCCTCCTCCTCCTCCTCCTCCTCTACATCGACCACGGCAGCTTGATTTACCTCCTCCTCTAGATCGAGGTATGGAAGCTGGATTTTCTGCTTCCTCCTCCTCCTCCTCCTCCTCCTCCTCCCCTTTTGCTACTCTTGCGCCTCTGCTCCTCCCCGCATCACCACGAACGAAGCTTTCACTATATCTATCCGTACTGCTTATTTTGTTCCTGTCCACCCTACAGGAGTCAGGCTCCAAAAAAAAAAACAAAAAAAAAAACAGGAGTCAGGGCCGACTCGCGATATTTCGTATTTCGGTGCTGAACCTGGTTGCACATCCAGGTAGGTTCATGGTAAACGTGCACGTGCACGAGGTGTGGATAGCCTTGTCGCCATGACTTCCCACCTTGCTATCCTCCAGCTCTTCTGCGATGACAGACCTCATGTAACAGTATTGTTGTGGCCTTGCCAATCTGTCCTGGTGCCTGGTCCCATTAGCAAAGAGAAGATTGGATTAAAAATTCCTGAATCTGGATGTGTTTTGTGCAGAGATGCAGGAAAGCCAATCAATCCCAATTTTCTGCATCTCTCGTCAAACGCGTCGAGATTCAGAAATTACTGTAAATCCAATCCTCTCCTTGCTAATGGGACCAGGCCCCTGGTTGCTTACAGGACTGCTGCATCTTTGCTATTCGTTAACCGGCAAATCCAGCGGTCGACGCGTCGTTTGGTGGTCCCCACTTTTCGTCAGTTCCCTCGAAGCAGAGCGCCGCTCTTATCGGCTTACGCGGTAAGAGCATTTGATTCGGGTCTGGGGTGGTATGGAAAGCGGCAGGCAAAAATAAGAAAAAAAAAAGAAGAAAAAGAAAAAAAAGGAAAAAAAGGAAAAAAAAGAAAAAAAAGAAAAAAAGAGGAAAAATAAGAAAAAAAAAGAAAAAAGAAAAAAAAGAAAGAAAGCGGCAGGCCACTTTGAAAAGGCGCAGATTTAAAAAAAAGAAAAAAGAAAAAAGAAAAAAAAAAGAAAAAAGAAAAAAGAAAAAAAAGAAAAGAAAAGGCGCAGATACAGGCTCGCGAGCCTCGGAAAGTAGCGTCGTCTTTGCCGGTTACTTCTTTTCTCAATCTTACCCCTCCTTCCTCCCTATGTGTGCTCCTTTGCCCTTCTCCCTCCCTCTCTTCTTCCTCTTCCCTCTCCTACCTTGTTTTCCTGGACACAACTCCCTTGCCATGTCCTTCCTCATCCCTCTTCTCGCCTTTCGTTCGCTCATCCCCTGCCCGTACTTCTCTTTTGCTATTTTGTTAACGAAAAGGTATGTATATATTTCTCTTTTTTATTTCTCAGTAGAATTCTACTAAAGGTAGACGATCTACAGGTTACATGAAGTAGTGGGGGACATGAGCGCGATCGCGATGTAAAGGAGATGAGTGATGTAGTGAATGATCATAAGGACGATGATGAGCGATTGTGGAGATGATTATGGGGAGGGTGAAGACAATGATGGTGATGTTCATGATGATGATGATGATGATGATGATTTAAAAACACGAATCTTCTCCCTTCATCGGCCCTCACTCCACTACTCACCACATGTGCAAAATAAAGAGAATGAATTTTCCGCTAGAACATGGAAAGATGCACTGTCATATTTTTTTGTCTTTTGTGCACGTGGTGAGTAGTGTAGCGATGGGCCTAGTCATGGTTCCTGCTGCGTCGTCCTCGTGTTTGGAATCCACTTCTCTGAGAAGAAATGGAAGAAGAGTATATCACGGCCGGAGTAAGAGAGGGGGTAGCAGGTTAATGAAGAGGCGAAGTACCGGCCTGATGGCTGAACGGTACACGTTAGTCTGACGCTAACGTAGCACTAGCACGAACAGAGCACAAACATAGCACAAACATAGTACGAGGAGCTTCGCACATAGATACGGATAGTCGAGTCTGATGCTTCTGGCCAGGCCGTACCGTACCAGTTCGATTGCATAGCTCAGTGAGGCTCGTGCTAACATAGCACGAACATAGACAAACATAGCACAAGCGTAGTAGGAGGAACCCTTTTTTTTTTTTTTCCGCCTATAACGGCCGACTATTGCAGTGTGAACGGGCCCAGTGCCCAAGGCAATACAACAACGGTGTCATCGAGTCCCATCAGGGGCCGATGGGTTCTCTGACCCAATAGTGCGAGGAATTTTGCGCATAGCATTACCCATAGTCAGGCCAGGTTGTACTGGCGTGACTGCAGTTTGTGGCAGTTTGTACTAAGACAGCACAGACATAGTGCCTCACACTACAACATTCGAAACGTATCTGGAGCTGGTATGCGTCCAAAGGGATGAGTTGGAATGTGTCTGGGGCACACTGCAATACAAAACATGTCTAAAATTGTGTAGTGGAGAGAAGCCCATAGTACACGTTGTGGTTCGCTGAGAGGAGAAGGAGCGAGGTTCACCGCACCACTTGCCCAAGGCCAATACTTTGAATGTATCTGGACCCTTATACATAGGGCCTGTGCAAGATGAGAATGAATCTTCGGCTAGAATATGGAAAGATACACTGCCATATTTTTTGTTTTTTTGTGCATGTGCTGAGTAGTGGAGCAAGATATGAGCAACTCGGCATGGTCCAAGGATCAAACTGACCACCAAGGAGATAGAAGACAAGGAAGAGACTTATAGTGAATAGAGAGAGAGAAGAAAAGGAACGGTAGAAAAAAAAAGAGTAAAGACCCCAAGGAGATACAAGACAAGGAAGAGACATATAGTGAATAGAGAGAGAGAAGAAAAGGAACGGTAGAAAAAAGAAGAGTAAAGACCCCAGCGTATAAAAAAAAAAAAAAATGTTACACAATAAGCGACCGGCAAGGAGATAGAAGACAAGGAAGAGACACACAGTGAATAGAGAAAGAAAAGAAAGGAAAGGTAGAAAAAAGAAGAGTAAAGACCCCAACACATGAAAAAAACGTTCAATGATACACAATAAGCTCGTGGCGGCGTAACCCAACTTGTTTTGGCTGGTACGCCCAACTAGCGCTCATAATCGGTCTTAGTTGTAGTTGTTGATGACGTAAACGAGAAATGCTAGCGTATTCATAGTTTAACTAGTCATCCGAATTACCCGAGAAATACTACGAAGCATCATCCATCACAACCAATTGGAACCAATTGATGGGAGTTCAAAGTTGTCTGAAAATCAATACCCACTAATGGCAACGAGTCATCAAATTTTTCAATCCTAAAGGCKAAAACAAATGAAGTGCATTTCAGATATGAAAAAGAGTGTTTTCTTTTTCAGGGGATTTTCATGC